GGGGGTGCCAGGGGCGAGGGTGCAGAGTTGCGGGGTTGCAAGGGTGCGGGGGTGCAAGGGTGGTGGGGCCAGGGTTGCACGGGTGGTGAGGCTAGGGGTGCAGGGGTGCGGGGTTGCGGTGTCGGCACGAATACCCTTACAAGGGTATCCGCCCTGGTTTTTGCAAGTGACAGAAAGGCTCCGTTAACCTGGATTTTGAAGTGCCCGCGCAGGGAAATGCGAGGGCCGTTCGCACGCGGGCGGAGGCCTGCCTTGTCCCGGTAAGGAGTACGTGGGCGCGCAATTTTTAAGGCGCGCGTGTGATCCTTCTGATTGAGTGGGCGGTCGGGGTAGCCGACCGACCCGGACCGCGTTGCGGCCTTGGTTAGGGAATGAAAGTTCGTTTTGATCGGTGCGCGTGGCCCAGCGGTGGGGTTGGCGCACCGACGTATGGGATGGCCACGGCGCGGGGTGGTAGGCCGGTGTGGGCACCTAGGGGCCGTAGGTACAAACGTGGGCTGAAATAAGTGGTCAAGGTAGTATCGTAGTCCGGAGCGTCGTGTGGTACCGTTTGTATGGGAGGTCGCGCCTGCTAATACCAGGTTCGGGCTTAGCCCTATTGGTTACGGCATTGGACTATTGCGGCGAAGGTACGGAGATCGAGGCCAGCGGACGGTGACGCAGGAGCAACGGAGGGGCGACGGGCTGAGGGGTTGAGGGTCCCGCGGGACTATCCCCCTTAGTTTTGTTGGGAGAGTCCGACCGCGGGGCCGCCTCACAAGACTAAGGGGGGGGATTTGGCAGGGCAATGGCCTGCTTTTCCTTGTCGATATCTTACTCACCCCTTGAGGGTCGTTTTAGTATTATTATTGCTTTGTTTTTGTGTTTGTGTGTTGCTTTTGCTGTTATTCGGGGTCGCTGGGGGCGGAGGCCGTGCTTCTGGGGCCGGTCGTCTAAGCCACTGGCCTGCTATAGCGGGCGCACTACGGACTGTTGGAATGTAGGCCCGCGATCGGACCCAGATGATAGGGTCGGGGGCTAGGCCCGAACGTCTAGGATTGCCAAGGGCCAGGGAGATTCCGAGGACGGTTGAGTGGCCTTTGGGGGTGGCATGGGGTGATTGTCACGACTGATATTCGGGATATCCGATAGCTGTGGGATGTGGCATAGGAGGTCCACATGGCTACTGCGCTAGGTTGGCGCGTGTAAGTCCGGGGATGAACCCGACCGTGAGACAGGCCAGGTACGTGTAAAAGGAGGGAGGCCGACTGACCTTTGGGGCTGCCGCGGTGAGAATCCGTTGGGACATCCATCAACATTGGAACGATACAGAGGGAAACTGCATGACCCCGGTGTAAGGATGGGGCACAGGGATTTGGAAGGGACCCGGACGTAGGTTGCGCCGGGTACATATCGAAAGAAAAAAAAAGGGGGGGGGG